CGCCTAGAGGAGAGCCAGGTTTGGGGGCAGCCAGAGTGGGGGTGGGGAGGAGGCAGGTGCCTCTGGGAGCAGCACCAGGAAGCAGAGGTCTGGTGACAGAGGGACCTGGACTAGCGCACGAGTGTGCCCTCAGGTGGGGCGCCCACGGGTGTGGCTGTTCCCACCTTGGGAACGCTGATTTTCTCTGCACGAAGAACAACTTTCAAGCTCGAGATTCCTGAGCTTCAGGGCCCTGCCCACACCTCCTGGGCTCCAGAAAGGACCCTCCAACCACCTACAGGGACCTTCCTTCATGTCTCATGGCATCTGGACCTCACTGTTCTGTGCCAGTTGGGAAAACCACCGCAAACTATCCGGAGCAGTGTCCTGGGCAGAATGGCCCCCCCGAAATTCATGTCTCCCTCGAATGTCAGAATGGGACCTTATCTATAAATAGGGTCTTTGCAGATCAAGTTTAGATGAGGTCATCCTGGATTAGGGTGGGGGTGTCCTCATAACAGAAAAGTAGAAGACAGACACAGAGGGAAGAAGGCCAGGTGACCCTGGGGACACCATGGAGCGTGTGGCCACAGGCCGGGAACCAGGGCCACCGGGAACTGGAAGAGGCGGGAGGACCCCCACCCCCGCCGCCAGCCCTCGCGGGGAACGCCCACCTCAAGTTCAGCCTCTAGAAGTGGGAGAGAACCATTTTCTGGTGGTTAAGCCCCCAGTTTTTGGTGCTTTGTTACAGTGGCCCTGAGACTCCTATAAGGAATGTTCAGAACAATTCCCAATAGGCAGGAGTCAGGCAAGTGGGTGACACTGGGTCCTTGCACTGTGTTCTCGAAGTCGCCGTCTAGCCAGTCTGCCTGAGCATCATTCAACTACATGTGACTTACCATTTATTACTGACCCAGCCCAGGTGCCCTCAAGCTAGACGTTCATATGGAGCAAACAGAAAAGCTGCAAGTGATTGGCGTTCCTGTAAAAATGCAAATCGTTCCTGTCTGGCAGAAAAGATCATCCCGAAGGTTATGGTTTATTGCCCTGTGAGGGATTAACCTGTTCTAGGCCCAGCTTGGCAATCTGACTCTGGCATCTTTTTTCTTTCTCTGACCGCACGCGGCTATATCGGGGCCGGGGCGCCCTTCTTGGAACCAGCTTTGCCATCGGGCCACACTCCTGCACCCATGCATTCAACGAGACTCCGACACAGGGGCCGTTTATGTTTCTACTGGAACTACGGTTTCAGCCTTTAGAAAAGAACGCTTTGGCAGCAGAATTTATTAAAGTGGAAAGACCAGAGAAAGTTTCAGGCAAGGTTCCATCCAGGGGCTGTTCGTACAATGTGACTCTGCCCTACTCCCCGTCGGGAGCGGGCTCCCGGCCCTGGCATCTGGCTGGGGGCGTTTGGCCCTGATAGAGGCAGTGCTCCCAGCCCCAGGAGTGCACCGTCTTGAAGTGGGTCCCAGCCTGAGGTTGAGCAACCCCAGCCGATGCCACGTGGGCCTTCTCCAAGGCCAGCCCACACTCCAAGTTCTTGTGCAAAGCAGATTGCCGTTTTACACCTCTGAGTTCGGGCCGTTCGTTACACGGAGCTAGATAGCTCGTGTGCAGGCTGCGTGACCTTGGACGAGGAATTTAACGTCTGGGAGTCTCTATGTGTGAGATGAGGGTAAGAATACTGCCTAGCTGGGCTCGTCCTTTAAAGACTAGTAACGGGACGTCCCCTGCGCACCAGACGCTGTTGTGACAATCCCATGTGAAGCAGCCTGGCACAGAAGGCCCTCCCCCATTTTTTGTATCTGTGCACCAGAGATGAAAGTCCCTTCGTTCTCTCCCGGCCAAACGTGTCATATAGAGCAATAATCATTTGCCAGGTACGGACATGTCAATTAAAAGCTGGCTGTCGCCTCTAGGTCACGGGGCCTGCAATGCTTCATTGGTCCCTCAGGGCCGTCGGACAGAGAGGCTGCAAGGAAACATTGGGGGGCTGGGCTGTCCTTTTTCCTGCTGAGTAGTGTGATCTAGTCAAGTGGAAAAGTGCTATTTGCTGGGTAATAAAAGCGTCTTTTGTTCACGGCCCTGGAAACATATTAATGAATAACCCAGTGCGTGGCCCCTGGTGCTAGCCACGTAAAACAGTCTTTTATGTGACAAGATCAAGGTGCAATTTTCCTTTTGTAGTTTTTAGTGGGTACAGAACACCAGGCTGATCAAGGCCCCAGCAACCGGAATGAGCTTTCCCTGCGGCCCCACCGGACCCTACAAACGCTAGGGCCCAGCTCCACGCGCCGCACGACACACAGCCCAATGCCACGTGAGGCACGGAGATCCACTGCTGTGCCCTGCAGAGAGACAGGAGCGAGTGGGGAGCTGGATGCCTCAGGGCAGGACTCGAGGAGGGGGCAGGCCCTGAGGTGGGGGCTGTGAGGGCTTGTTGGCCGGGCACTTCTCGGCAAGGCCCCTCAGTTGCTGGAACCGGCTCCTTCTCCTGGCCTTAGGAGGAGGTGTGGTGCAGGATCGTGTCAGGAACCGGTGGGGGAGGGGGGCGCGGGGGGCGGTGCAGCTGGTGAGCTGTGTGACTGAGGACCCAATTTGCTTATCTCCAAGGCCTGGTATGTGGCTGGCCCTCGGGGGGCATGGATGAAGTTTGGAGCTCATGACAGAGTCCTAGAGCCCAGGGGCGCTGGTTGGGGGTGGGGCAGTGACCCACTTCCTCCGTTCAGATGAAATCGGGATGCCCAGTTGGGGAAGAGGGGTGACTGTGCAGGGTACAGCGCTGGGAGGAGGCTCAGCCTGGGGGAGCTGGGGTCCCCACTGAGCCCTTTCACCGTTGTTATTGTTGCCATAACGACAATAATAAGCGGTTGCCAGAGCTGACTTTTATTCTGTTACAGGTTGAACTGCACCACCCCTCCCCCACCACTTCATATGTTGGAGTCCTAGCCCCCAGTACCTTAGGAGGTGACCTCTTTGGTAAACAGTGTCATCGCAGATGTAATTAGTTATGATGAAGTCATTAGGGTGGGCCCTAGCCTAGTCTGACCGGCGTCCTCACAAGAGGAGGACCTCTGGACACAGACACACAGGGGGATGCGGTGGGAGGGTGAAGGCAGAAACAAGGCCCAGCGGCCCAGCAGCCCCCAAGACTGCCTGCCAGCCACCTGCAGCTGGGGGGCGGGGGAGGGCAGCCTGGAGCCGGCTCTCCCAGAACCTCCAGGAGGAGCCAGCC